TTGGTTGTTTAATCGCTACCTGAATCTGCTTATCCCTATTCACAATAAAACACAACATATTTTTAAACATTAACTTAAAATGACCCTTCGCGTTCCTTTCTCATGTATTTGAAAATAGTGACTTATTAACTTTTTATTATTTTTCTGTCTTTCCAAATATATCTTATGGTGCATAAGAAGTTTTAACTAACTCAAAGGCATCCTAGCCTCCTATGCTTCTGCATCAATAAAGAGATGCAAATACGAACGTATTTTGTTACTATACGCAAGAAATCTTTTGACAAAAAGAAGTTCTCAAGTGTATGGCACTATTAGAAACTAGCCATCTCGTCAATCAGTTTATCTTGTACTTTAAGTAAAGCTTCAATCGGCCATCGTCTAAAATGTGTTAATTCAAAATGTGAAACTTAAATAGTTTTTTTGGTTGGAATGAAAGTGACGGTTCTCGTCGGAATCTGTAATTTTAATTAAATAATCACCTAGCGTGGGCTTTAAGTAGTATCGAGAGCGATGCAGGCCTTCAGTTCAAAATTATTCTTCTTCCATCAACGTTATTACTGAATAAAATCGTCGCATTTGTTTATGCAGTTAATGCTGACAGCTAAAGCTCAACTTAATTTTCTTTTTCAACAAATTGGAAGAGTTGGAGTTTGAACAAATCGCCGCAACCAATCGAACAGACAACTTCGAAGAGTGTTCACTTTCTTATTTAGAAATTCTTGAAAAAAAATTTTTATTTAAAATTCAACTAAAATTGGCTTTTTGATATCTACCCTTATGCTTAGGTGCATTCATGCTTGTTGTGTGGTTGTTCTCATTTCGTTTAACTTGAGTTCCATCTTTGCCGGACAGATTTTTCTTACATTTAAAGGCATGTTAGAAGTTTTCTTTATCTCTTTTTGTTTCCCTTGTCAGTTTCTTTTTTTTTTTTCCTTTAGGTTTCGTTAACTTTATGTTTAAATGTATTCATCTAAGTGTACACATGCAGGTTTATCAAAAGACTGATTGTTTAAATGAATGAAGAAGGTTTTCCTTTTTAACTTTATGCCAATTATGGTAAAACTTATTGAATTTGTTTTCAAAAGTCAAATGGCACCGAAAGCTAAGTTTATAAGCAAAAGCTTTTTCCAGACATTGCCTGAATTTTGTTTACATGGCCGCATAAGGTCCAATTAATAGTTATTAATGGTTTCTTAAAAAAAAAAAAAAATTTCTTAAGAAAAACTTGTCTAAAGGCAAAATTCCGAGAACGCTAATCTCTAAATTTTTTGTTTCAATTAATCGATTAACACAACTTGTGAAATAAATATTTAGATTCACGCCTTTCATATCTTTTGTGCCTCCTCTATGCCACCATACCGCAAATACAGCGCAATACCAAAAGTTCCCGTTTCGCCAACTGTATCGATCGCCATCAGAACCATTTATTTGTAGTTATCTACTTCGTCGCCTCCACATATCTCCACGTTTATGTCGAACGTGCAGAAATGCTGCTATGTCTTTCCTCTCCCTTCCACCAACAAGCGCATTTCCAAGCTCATGAAAGGCATTCTCAAAATTTCTTTAAAGGAAAGGGACGTGGAATCTTATTTTTAATCCCGTTGTTGCATTGAAATCTCAGGATACGAAAACTGGGTAGGGCTCAATGAGAAAGCACTCTCAAGCAGATTTATTCTCGTGATTGGGCAAGTAGCTAAGAATCGCGACTGCCAAGTCGGTGTTCGCAGGTTCAAATCTCAAGTGAGATGGTGTTCAGTTCGATCGAAGCTATTGTGAGTCGCCAGAAAAATTACCAGTTGAGCACACTAAGTTCTCGGCCGCCATCTCTTTGTCTTTTCTTATTTCCTGACTTTTTTCAATTGCTTATATTAAATAAAAGAAAATAAATAAAAAAACAAGTAAAGACATTGTAGTTTGGCAAAGTCGACTCCACCAGATCGCCCAGTACAATTACTGACTCGGTTTGGGAATAGTACATAAAAAATTACAGATTTTTTTTCATACAAAGGCATATATTTCATGAAAGCCCGATATGATCCAAACTTAGCAAACTTGTCAAAAATTTTACTATTTATAAGAGACTAGATAGACTTAGATCTTCTCTCCATGTAAGGGCCGGCTTTCTATGACAACAACCCCTAGTTATGTTAGGATTTAAAAAATAGACAGATGTGATCCAAATTTCAAACCGTTAAGTTTTTTACTAAGTGGCTACAATAGGTCATAGGTAATTTTCAACATAAAACTTTAAAAATGATTTTGATGAATTTTCCTAAACTAAGAACTAACACAGTACGATTTATGAGAAATCTTATACGAAGTGGCGTTCAAGAAGTAGACTCATGTGATTCAAGTTCGACGGACTTCAGTTTTTTATTAAATTACCATCATGCACAAATGTTCGCCATAAAACTTTAGCAATTAAGCCTTTTTGGCATATAAGCGCTTACATTTCCTGAGAATGCGTACATGCGTTCGGTATCCAAGTAAATAGACTTACGTCGCCCAAATTCGGTAGGATTGATTTATTTCTCAACTGACAATTATAAACCAATTTTTACCGCGAAATATTGAAAGTTGCCATATAACAATTCAGTTTTTTTTAGGAACGGCGGTGTATGAGGGAAGCTTCAAAAAATTGTCACAGCCAACACTTTAACATGTCGAAATACTATAACTCGGCGTCTCTTGTCGAGAAATTTGCATGATTGCAATTTTGTTCTAAAAAAATAAATTTTCTAAAATAAGGCGTGCTATGAAGAGTAGTCAAAACAGTGGGCCGATCCAAAACCATTTCAATAGCGTTACTTCTAGGGTCAAAGCACGTCAATTTCACAAATTTCGTCAAATTGTCTCAAAAATTGCGACTTATAGATTGAGAAAAATACTACATGGACAGACATCAGACGGGCAGACAAGCTTAGACCGATTGAGGAAATGAATCTGAATCGATAGATATCGCAAAAATTGGGATTGCCTTAAGACCTTCTGGAACTTACATGTGTTCTCCAGAAATGGAGAATTCGTAAACAGTACGTAAAATTAGACAAAATATTATTAAAGATTCCGTGAGGGACATTGAACTGCGTTAAAGATTCTGAGCGCTCACCTAAGTTTCGAGCTCTTTTTTAACAGAAAGCAGAATTCAGGTGCATACGATTGTGCACCCAATAATTGACGACTAGCGTGAAATTCATATATAAATATTTAGACGAAAATTCTCAACTGAGTGACATGAAATTTACTTTTGTAAAAGCAGTCAATAACAACAAAAGATACTAAAAATATACCTGAATAATTTCGTAGCGAAACCCCGTCGCAATTATAGCATTCTTCGCCAGCTTTTTTTTGCCAACATAAATCATCAACGCATGAACAATCGTGAAAAGTGAATTTGCGCAAACATTTCAAGAATATATACATCGGGATCATTGTAAAGCGCTCACTTTCGATGCACAACAGTTTCCCATTTCGAAGGCGAAAACACATTATTGTCTCGGGAAGCGGGAAACGAAACTTTACATTAAAAGTATTGCCATTCCCGCCGTTCTGATATTGGTTAAATTAAGCAAGGTTTTATGCGATTTCGGCCGGCTTCGCCTATTATACGATACTTGGAATCAATAAAATTAATGTACAAGTCCCAAAAACTATCAATTAATTGATAGCATTACGAATTTACGAGCGATAATGCTGCGATATTGATGCGACTTCAATGACCAGGTTGTTATGATAGCTTAGGCTCTCTCCCAGAAGTCAATCTAAATGTTGAAATTTTCCATAAACGAAATGTCTATAAACTGAACTGTTTACATGAATTCAGTGCTAAAAGAGATTTTATGAGCAATATGCTTATTAAATCGCTCTGAATAGATCGAAAAAAAACTCATTGATTTATTTAATTAAAGTCGTTTTCTTTGGCAAACATTTGAAAATTTATTCGAATAATTTTTTTTGCTTGTTTTCATTAAACAAATATACAAGTGATTTTTTGCTTCTCAAACGAAAAATTTTTCAATGAAATCAATGTCGTTGACTTTCTATGTTATATCGAAATTCGATTTTCTTCTCTACACTTTATTGGCATCGCCGTGCTTGCGTAGCAATAAATAGAAAGGAAATATTTATAGCAAATATTTTATGATCAATCTTTTCACAGACGAAATATAAAAAAATTATAACTAAAGCAAATACTTTTACACCCATAACAATATTCAAGTGCTTCCTATCATTTATTCAGTCAATCATTCTACTGAATGTGACTATGATGTAATCGTTCTTAATATTTGTTTAAAAATTTCCATATATATACATATATATATATGTATATTTATGTATATATATGTATATATGTATATGTATATGTGTACATATAGCTGAAACGTCATCAATCTTTATTTACAACACAACGAAGCACATTGATTAACATTCATATTGCTAAGAAGAACCATGCAAGCACACACGTATCCATTTGTATATATATGTTTGTTTATATGCTTCTATATGGATACATACATACATACATATATATATATATATGGAAGACTAAGTGAGAAAACTTGACACATTTTTTAGTTATCTTTGACAATTGTTTTTCTACGACTACCGCTTTCAAATGTACAAACGTATCTGCATTTGTGCATACATATCTATTTCAAGTGCTAAGTGTACCAACTGTGTGAATGATACTTGCAGCAGAAGTAAATACACTTTTCTTCTGTTTTCTTTAAATTGCATTAATACCTAAACATATGTACGATGAGTGTTATTTCAATGCTGTAAGAAAATACAAAAAAAAAAAAAAAAAAAAAAAAAAAAAAAGACTAAATGAATATTTAATATTAAGGTCAAGCTTTCTTGAGCGTCATTACAGAAAAATCGACTGTAAAATAAAAATAAATGCAATGTAGAAAAATTAGCAAAAAAAAAAAAAAAAAAAAATGTTTATGAAAACTTCAACTAAAAATAAATTAAACAATTTTAATTAAATATAAATTTCCTTTTATTATTTACTTAAGTAAAAAATAACAGTCTGTCCGTTCACTCGATACTTAGACACAATCTAAACTTAAACAATTCTTGCATCCAAATGTAATTTATTAATTATTCAATAGAGAATTAAAAGAAATAGATCGCAGATAGTACGATACACATACTAAAGCATAAGGGCTAAGTGCAAAAGAAATGAAAGGAAATGAAAAAGTGTTTTTATATAATAAATAGGTAAATAAAATTGTATTGAGCAAGTAAGCGGAATACCAAACAGATATCGGCCCGTACCTTTCCAATTGTTTAAGTACTATTGCTTTTGACCTCTTCAAGTATGCACTACTTATGTAAGCATATTCGCAAATACATAGTTGCAAATTTTTATTTGATGTAGGAATATATTTTTGGAAAAATCGCTCTAGGTTTCCAAGTTGATATGAAACATTGTGCAAAAGAACTACTACACGGAATTAAATATAAAAATATGTTTATTAAGAAGCTCAGCACGGATCGTATGCTCATATGTACACTCATTTTGACTGAGCACTTATCAATGCTCTACCGGACTGGGATTTGAATACGCGAACACTGACTTGGTAATTGCGATTCTTACCTACCTTCAATTATTCAAGGATGGAGCCCTTCGTACCACTTAACTCAAAATTGAAGAGAACATTTTTAATAACCTTTTTCTCTCCCTACCTTCAATTATTCAAGGATGGAGCCCTTCGTACCACTTAACTCAAAATTGAAGAGAACATTTTTAATAACCTTTTCCTCAAAATAGTTTTGAATTGCTTTTCCGATTTCTATACCCATCACCGAATGTGTATATATATTCATGATGTGTGTGTCAAATTCTGGTTTGATTTACGCAAATCTGTCCATGGGCTTCTGTCTTTTGAACAGGCTGTAATGATCCTTCTGCCGACCGCAAAAAACAAGAATTTATTTTCAAACTCAGTAAAAACAGTGTTCTGTGTCTTGTTAGTATTTGATAAGGAAAATAGATCAAATCGATTAAAGAACATTCCCGCAGGACAACATGAACTGAGGACATCTACATTCTCAAAAGCTAAAAATTTGATATTGACTGCTCATTACTCATAAGGTTCAGCACACGAGGCCACAAACATTCAATATTACATATTAGTGAAATTTCATTTGCATTGCTTAAGATAAAAGCGGGGAGCTATAAAACAGTTCGCCACTCTGCACCACTCTTCAGATCGAAGAAAACAAGACAGGGATAATAATATTCGCGGGGATTATTAAACAAATATTTAAGTATTAAAAGAAAAAAGATTGTTTTGCGAGCAATCTGCAATATCAAGAGCGCTGCGGCAAGCAATGTAACTTGAGGAAATATGAGCGTGAGAGAAAACAAAAATCTAAAACGAAAGAAGTTCGGGGGAGGCTTCAAGAATATTGATTTTTATGTAATTGGCGAGTATTTAAGTGAAAAATCGTATTTCCTTCAATTTTCGACCACAAGTAGAGCAATAATTTCTTCAAAAAACCCCCGGTGATATGTTACATTAAAAACATTGTTTATTGTTTTAAAATACGTTGTAGACATGTTCTCTTATTATAACGCAATAACATATTTTAAACGCTCTGCGATTAGTGAACGAAAATTTGTACCGGAGATTTTCATATGCAAGAAAATTCCAAACAGTTTTAAGAATGCAGTTTCAAAATCTGATTGCATTGCTTATTACTTTCAGATTACGTAATATGAATGTATGTACGGATTCCTTTGTACGCGCAACAAATAAAAAATTTGCATTCGAATCTTCGTTGTACTTAAAAAGGCTAAAAAAGTCGGAAAGAATATTCGGCGGGGGCCGAGGCTCGCGTGCCCACCACATAAACGCTTGGTCCATTTAAGATTTTAATGTCTTAGAAATTGGCTTTGTCTAAACGTCCCAAGACTTTATGTATTAAACGTCCACCATAATTAATTCATAACTAACGGAACTTCTCCCATTCTACTCTCCAACTCCTTTCGTTTGATACCCATATCGACCGTATTTTTAATAAACCATTTATCCACTAATGACGTCTACCACAATTAATAAATTCGAATTAATACATGTAGCTTCTCGCCTCCTGCTCTCCAAGTTGTTTCATATGATACCTTTATCAACGATATCGTAACGAAAAAATTGGTTCACTACGTTGTGACGTCCGAGATATTTTATTTGGAACTAACACTTTTAAATTAACCCACTAGGTCACGGTGTCTACCTTATTCATTTTAGAATTAACCAACTATTAGGCAGACAATACATCTTCCTTTGAGGAGTGCACAAAATAATTTTAAACATTCTGTCTTGTTTGCCTTATGATAAATAAGCACAAAGCCTCAAAAAAGTGAAAAAAAAAAAAAACATTTTAATCACTTGTAACTTTGTGTGGCCGTGACCGATTTTTCCCATTTTTTCAGGTAAACAGACAATTATGTGTTTCGTCTTTTATAATTTCGAAAGAGAAAAAAGTCCGCAAATTTTTGTGAAAAAAAAAACAATTTGCGTTTACTTTATGCTCCACTGCGGGCTTCTGATCTAACCAATTTGGCTCATTTTCAATGCTAACCTGCGCGCAAAAGCATCCAATCTTTCTACCAAATTTGAAGTCGATATCTACATGTTTGAGACCATGAAAATGCCAACAACAAACACCGCACAGGCGGACAGACATGGCTTAGTCAATTCAAAATTTGACGCTGATCAAGGATATACATAGGCTCTATAGGCTCCCTGAAGCTTCCCTTTGAGTGTCGCATGCATTATGAAAAAAGAAAACAAACTCCATCCTTCAGTAATGGATATGGAAAAGGAAAAGAACTACATTTTCATAATTAAATGTTTATGTCCTATAATATTGAGTAGGCTTGGTTAACTTTTAGGTATAAAAATTATACTTAACTTTTCTCATAGGTTGTAAGTTTTATTAAAACAAATTACACTGCAATGCGGATCAGCTTTACTTATTAGACATATCACAACGTGAAACTTATTTCTTTTTCTTTCACTTTAACATCGTAAAACTCCACCCACATAAATGGCTATGGTATGGGTTTGAGGGCTAAGATGCGTAGCTATTACGTTGGAAGCCCTGGTTCGACTCCTGGCACGGTAGGCCGATTAAGCGATTGCACATGATTACATATGCGCATATGTTTCGATTCAGGCGAATGAATAAGAGAAGATAGCGCTTGGTTTGCTTTGAAATTCAATTGGTTTAGAAAATCCACCCGATTTTTCTTTTCATATTTTAAATGGTAATATCGCCGTAATAGCTTGCAAAAAAAGTAAGTTCACAGTGCTATCCTCCCTTTAACGACATCATCCTCAATTTTTGTTTGAAAGCTCCAACTTGGGTTCAAATATCTTCTATAATGTGGTCATTTGAGTTTTGAAACCATTGAAACGACATACCGATGGAGTATAAGCTGTTTGCTTAATAATATTAATTAAGATTCTTGCTCAAAAAGTACGCAAGAAAGTCAATTATTGCCCTTAACATATATAAGCTTACAATGACGCCGTAATGGCAAGAGAACATAAATAACATAAATCGCACAATTCGGGGATTTTTACGAGAATATTTCATTTTCCGTTGGTTTGCAAAGTCCCGCTATAAAGCCAATTGAATGGTTTTGATGTCAAATGTCATGATCCGACGATCCCATCAACACTTATGATGCCCTTTACTTGGCATTTTGTCAGAATTAAACCTGTCAAGGCAGTCTTCAGCGACCCTTTTCCGTTAGCCTTTAGGGAGACTAAAGCTTTCCCGAATTTTATCGTAAACGTCAAGCAAAATTCATTACATAGATTAACATTATCATTTCTTTCCCCGTCACCCTGATTCTTTTTTTTTTTTTTCTAATAAAAATAATTTCCTAAAACCATTGTTTCTTTTTCGTCGCGTAAAGGTTAGGTTAGACCAGACCCTCAGTTATAAGTGCACTAACACTTTCGACAAATGGACCCATTACATTATTATCGTACAAACAGTTCAGCAAATCGGTATTATCTCGCTTGCTGTTCTATCAAATCGAACACTAATTGCTCTTGATTATCACATGGAACAAAGCAAGTTTTTAAACAGTCTACGTTTCTTGCTTTTCGAACAACATTTACAGGTTAAAGGATCTAGCAACACTTGCTGTATATATCATGTATTTAACAACAGTTGAAATATATTTCTTTTGTGCCTTTGTGGAAATTCCACACTTCATAAAAAAGGGTCTGCATAAAAAAGTAGGCGATCTTCTAAAAGAACAAATTTTAAAAAGGGTAAAACCAAAGAGACATTCACACGAATCGACGCCGTTGGCGACTGCCGAAGAGGTTAAAAACAATTAACAGTGTCCCAGTCAGGTTGCTTGCAAAGGAGTCTATAAGCAGAGTGTTTGCGGAAGGTAAAGCCAGTCGAGTCGAGTTAGCTCAAGCGTAACGGGCAAGTTCACGAAATACATTGTAAATAGAAGTTACTGTAAATAATTTGTAAATAGGATTTTAAAAAACGATTGTATACAGCGCGTAGGTCAATCTAAAAGCCACCATTTAGCGGTACGAATTTAATCTCAGAATGACTTGGCTAAAATCGTTATATTGTAAAGGGCATTTCACGTTATGCTATGCAATGCTATAAACCAACTCATTATATCAGTTAAAACAAACCGTTTACGTTCATGTAATGCAAGCTTCAATTGAAAATTCAAAAATAAAATCAACCTGAACCTCTACGAGTGTGAGGAAGAGAACCAATCATATTCGCTTCGACTCGAATTCACACAAACAAATGACATAAATAATAATAAGAAAATTACATCCGCCATTGACAAACCTATGAAGCTTTAGGAATTATGAAAAAGGAATTCTGTAAAATCTTTTCTTTATTCGCGACCTTTCATTACTGGAGGATCCTTCTTCGAGTTAGCAAATCAACAACAGATGATTTACTGAGCTGAGTGACATGACAGACACTACACTGTCTATGACAGGCAATAAAATATTTCAGCTTTTTTCTCAGCTATCAATAAGCCTTTAACTGATCTGGAGCATTTATATTAAAGGGTTGAGGAGGCATCATTTCAAGTTCTGCACTATTTATTAATCGCCAACATATTAAGTGATTTTCCTGGCTTGATTTGACACGAAACCAATGCTATGGATGCGACGGATTTTATTTCCAGTAAAGAGTTGCCAGCTATTACACAGCACGTAGAATATTTATATGATTGCGTGAAATATTTGAAATGGCGTCTGTTCTCGATCGGTTCTGTATTTTCGGAATGAGAATTCGACGTGACTTGTCTACCTTTTCCTGTCCTGTACTTTTCTCGCAATTATCGAATGTGCAACTACTGGAAAAAAACGAAATCAATAAATTTTCATTAGCAATGTGCGGTATAGATACAGCAAATATTGGTTTAAAAAATTGAATAATTATTTAGCAGTGCTATGATCCAATTCTTCACACTTTCAAGTCTAGGAGTTAGAGAAAAGCGTCAATGTTCAACATATTTACTTTTATATATATATGTATTTTTATACATTTCAATAAGTTTCCGAAAATGGCGGGCATATAAAAATTTCTTCGAGAGTGAAAAGATTTCCTTCTTTCTTTCCAGTTTTGTTTACATTAATCGCCAGAGGGTAATGGATCTTTTTTTAATTTATTTCCTTGCAGCGATATGATTTTCCTATAGAGAAACGAAAGTAGTTTTCTTACTCATTCTTTTTTACTTAACGTCCAAATGTGATCATATATATGCACGTATCGATCCACGGATACGTATAGATTTGAAAAAAAACACTTTTATATATAAATTTTTAAAACTGGTCAAAAAAAAGAAAAAAAAAACTATCGCAAATACGCAAATAATATATAAATAAAATAATGCAAGCATATGCATGGGAAACTAATAACTAAAACCGTTATTTTTATAATTTTGGGAAACTTCAAGCGTCTGTCAAAAAATCCTTAAATGAATTCCATTTTTCCAAATTTTATTAAATTTCCCAGAATATGGTAAAGTTTGACTACGCATTTATGTTATGATAGCCGTGTAGACTTATTTTTAACTATTAACTAAATCGATAATTCTTTGATTGTCTTAAATTTATAATAAATCTAATTACGGCTTCTAGAGGTTATTACATTGATATCTTCTTCATCTCTTTGATACTTTGAATTATTATCTCAAAGTTATGTGTATGAATGTATGTGTGTGTGTGTGTGTGCGTATTTATCTGTCTCAATGTGTCTATGCATGTGCACTTTAATATATTAAAACAGCACTTTTATCAAGTAATCTGCTTAAAGCTGCTTGAAGGATACTTTAATGCTTGTGCACAATAAAGATTCTATTGTGGGAAAAAAAGATCAGAAGAACTACAAAGCTTCCAACACTAAATCTAATGTATGGTGACACCGTGTGCACATTCAGACAAACTTACGAGAAAACATGTAAGAAAACTATATTCGGTCGTGACCAAATCATTTATACTCATCAGCTTTGCCCTAAAAGACGCTAAAAAAAAGAGGACAACTAAATTATCAAACTCTGTAACTCTGGATGGGCATGGCTGATTTTTTCAATTTTCAAAATAACAGTAGAAATTTATATAGTGTATGTGTTGTATTATTATAGGCAACAAGGAAAAAAATACGGAAAGCAAAGATGTTCACGGTTTTTGTTGTATAGGCGTGTGGTTACTGTAGGGCAGGTCCTTTGACGGGTTTGGGTTATTTTCAACTTCTTTTATAAATTTTTGCGAACGAGAGAATCTTAAAACAGATACTGCACAGTTGGGCAGACGGACAGGTGCACTCTAAATTTAAGCATGACCAAGATTTTATATACTTTACGGGGTTTTTGAAGCTTGTGCCTTATAAAGGCATTGAAAATATATTTAATTTTGATTATATTATAATATTGTGTAGGCGTCACTACTTCTTCCCATTTTTGGACACGTAATATAGCATTAGCCATAGAATTCACGTTCAAGTCTTTGCGCAATTATCTGTTGTTGAGACCATTTTTTTATTCCTTTTAAAAAATGGAGATCTCGTCACTTCACGTAGTACTGTAGGCGTGGCTTTTCCTCTTTGATTTATCCCACTTTCAACGCCAACCTTCATCCGGAAATTTCCATCGTTTCGACCAAATTTGAAATTGTAAGCTACATTTTTGCGGCCAGAAGAACGTTTACAACAGACATTATAAAGACCGACAGACGGACATGCTTACATCGATTCAGAATATGATGGTGGTCGATAATATACATACTCTGACGCTTCTTTCTGGGCGTTGCAAACGTTACGACGTTCTCATCCTTCGGTGATGGATATAAAAAATATATGTATGTATATATATATATATAAGTCTACACACATATATATGGATCATCCATTCTGTGGTTCGGAAAACAAACGCAAATAAAATACATTTCTGATTGTGATTTGGATTAAGTTTCTTTTCAATATATTATGTGCATCTTGCCATTATTTATGGGTTACAATATATACGTTATCCTATAGCCTACAGAAATTGCAAAAAAAATTTATTACGGAAACAATGAATCTATAGTTGCGTTTCACGCATGTGGAATGATGCTCATATTTAGTTAAATAACTTCGTAAATAATGACCGTAATCATTACTCCTTTAATGGATAGAAATAAACACTGTAACTGTTCCTAAAAGTTGTTTAGGTGAACAAGATTTAACTTTTGAGTATGGTTTGTGGGCTGGAAACGTGATTTTTGAACATGAAAATGGCACTGCAGTTACCGTTAAGATAAAACGTTTGGAAAACATTATAAGCGATTTGTAGCCATGCGAAGTAAATGAGTTCGCTTTGAACGATATGTGACTTCAACAAAATGGTGCAACACTGCTTATATTTCGCGCCAAAATCAATTTATTGGGAGAAAAGTCTAACGACCATTTCCAATCTCCAACATGCTATGTAAGCTTGCCATAGAGATCGTTCGACATAACTCTATTGGTCTTTTTAATGCGACTTAAAGAAGAAAAAAAAGAAACTTATTTGATACGTATGCATATGTATATACACACGCAATATATGCGTGTAAGTCGGCATAAAACAGGATCACTAATTATGAACAACATCAGTTATTCATCTTTAATAGTGTGCAGTATATTAAGTTAAGATCAGTATGATGCAAATCTTTTCGTTAAGTGAAAAAGAATTTCAAACACTATTTTTACTATTATTCTGAATTTTATCGAGTAAGTAAGAATCGTCTACCAAGCGTCTACCAAATCAGTGTTCGCGGGTTCAAATTTAAATGGCGGTAGAGTTTTCTTCGATCGTACCTATAGTGAGTTTTCAGCCGGTAAAGGCATAACGCGTGCCGAATGAGCACAAACTCAATAGACTGCGGCCATTACCCTTCCTATTTCTTTCTCTTACCTCTCTACCGGCTGATGATCACCTTATTATACGCATAGGTGACATCCCCTGAGTGATTAGTCACATTGAAAAAGAAAAACCATAATATGCTTAGAAAGTTTGCATATATTTGAGTAAAAATTGACAAATGAACGTGCATTAAGCATTAAGGAGAAAAATCACAAATTTTTTATTATAAACATAGAGAAGCAATTACTGGAAGAATAAGAGCAGAAAAGTGCGTTCACCTTACCCGCCTAAACGGCGGAGTCTGCAAAAGATCTCGACTAACAACTCAATGGTCGTGGGTTCAATTCTCAAGTGCCGTAGAGTGTTCAATTAATCCGGTGATAGGCGTTGCAGCTGGTGCTTTTTAGAATTTAGTCTTAGAATTTACTTCTCCGGTTAAATGAATGATAATAATAATAGATACATTCACTTGAAAGCACAAATAATCTAATACTTACCGCTACGATGCTACTTTGTTTGTTTTTATTAAATACGAAAGCATAAAAGCTGCCATAAAAGCGTAAGGATCGTATATTATATAACTTTATATTCTTAAATCATAGGATCGTCTAAAGCTTTTCTACATAAACCGTCATATAAAAGGTATCACGTAATTTGCGCAAGATTTTAATTAAAATGGAGAACACAGCTTTTCCTTTTATTTAATTATAATTTTTTTATTTAATCATAAGAGTTAGGTATGGAATAGGACATTGGGCAGATAGCCTCGATGGCCTTGCTGACACTTACGCATTTTTTTATTGCAATTTTCCCTGACCCTTTTGCATAATTGTGGCAGAATTTCCTTGATGCAGAGTTGTGGCCTAGTTGGCATGGATATTTGACTTCAAATAACTCCATAGAAAGAAATCCAATTGTCTCAATTACACTGTTCACAGTTAACCAAGTTGAATTAATATTCTTTGCATTATTTTTTAAATATTTTTCATCAATGCAAACGTGTTGCTGTCAGCTGAGATTTTCGAACAGCCTATTCAACGTTCATAAAATTGCTGTTTTCAAAATTTTTTAAGAGCGAGTAGACCGTAACACACACCTCTTTGTGTGTGTGTGTGTGTATGTGTGTGTGTGTGTTGTATTGAATTAAAGCAGATGCACCTTACGCATAATATATCACTCTGCTCAACCGCTGTAATCAAATCTGCTACTGTTGTTGCTGGTGCTGCCGT